TTGACGATTTCAGTGAGGTAATGAATGTATGTGAAATAACAGAATGATTCATATAATTCAAAAGAAATTGAATAAAATGTCCTCTAGTAACAAGAATGCCTACTACAGTCAATGAGTACAAATTAAAGTAGTTGTATGTTGATAGAGGGAAATAGCCACAAATGAACAGAAAGGTTAAAAAATGCATTTGATATTTTAATACTAGATTGAATCTTAGGATCAAATTTGCTCATTTTGTAAGAGGAAATATGGTCTGATTATATATAAAGAAAACACTTTGGTGTGTTTTTCACAAATTATTAGAGCAAAGAAGCATTATTCCTTACTGTGTAGGAAATAGTCTTGAGAAACTATGCCTGAACTAAACTGTTTTAGACAAATCTCCTCAGATATTAACAGTGCTTTGTATTGTCCTCAAATTATTAAGGAGGGTAAGAGCAGCTATCATTCAAATAAGTTTTATTGCATGCAGAGTTTTGTCAGAGCTTTTTTCTTATGCTTACTGGTATTTGACAGTTTTATACTTATGTTACATAACCATATACAAATATTTATGACATGAGTCTTGTGGTTAGTAAACAATATGGTCTCATGTCAACAATACAGATTTGGTTTGCTATCAACAATTTTCATTCACATATTCAAACTAAGTTTCATTCTAGGTAGTAATTAAGAATATGGGAAAATATAATTTTTAAAGAAAAATTTATCATTTCCTAGATTGTGTGTCTTTTTATTTTTGAAGATAAAATTTTATTTTACTTTGCGATTTTGCACATTTGAAATTATCTTCAGAATATGATTTTTTCTACCTTAGTAGTAATAATTTAAAACATAAAGGTAATCTGTCTTGAAAACACTACAGAAAGTTTATTTTAAATTTGTTGTATATTTCCTTTTAAGTTAATTTTTCTTGTATTAATTATTTTGACATGGTTCTTTTAAAATGTTTATACCTTTAGATAAAGCATTTAATACATTTGTATTGTAAATTTTTTTTCACTGTTGATTATAATTAACTTTCTTATTGTTTTCCTTTTACCATCTTGTAACAGAATTTTCCTGTGTATTCAAAAATCATTTATTAAATAAAAAACATACTAATTTGTTAGTGTATTAGTTGCAAACTGCGGTAATATTAGAATAATTATAATTTACACGACACATCCTCAGATAGTTCTCAACTTCTTAAATGTTCTATTTTATGAATGACACATTGTTTAAAGTATAGTATGATTCACTAAATATACATAATTTTGTGCTTATACTTGTCTGAAACTGCACTGATTTCATTTTTGAGTGTATGGTATGTATATTACAGCTGGGAGTGGCTTTTTCCTTGAAATCTGAAACTGTTGTAGGCATAGTAATTGTCAGAACTGTTTTTATTTTTTATTTTACTTTTTGAGACAGGGTCTCACTATCTAGTACAGGCTGGGCTCAGACTTGCAGCAATCTTCCTGCTTCAGCCTTAGAAGTGTTGGAATTCCAGGCTTGTGCCATTGTGCTCAGCTAGCAATTTATTTTTAAAGAGAAAATCTTGGCATTTTAATTCACTCATCTCTCCACTAAGTAGATTTATTCTGTATGATTATATCAATTATAGAACTTACCATAACTAATGGAAATTTTAATGTGCATTGTAGTTTGTTCAATCAGGCTGGGAGCACATTTTTTAAAAGTAATAGTCTTTTTCTAGTCTACATCACTTCTCACCAAAGAATATATAATAAATAGAGTGAATGAATGCATGAAATATATTGCAGTAACAATTGGTGGGGCATTTCTTTTGCTAAATTGAAATTTCTACCCACAGTGACTGATTTTCTTTCATGTGATAATGACAGAACTGATAAATGGCCCACATAATGATTCAGCCCATTTGCACAATGAAGGATACTTTCCCATATTAAACAGACACCGCACTGCCAGAACATGTTCCTTCACTAGATGCCAAAACAAAGTGCATTCTGTCCTTGATTCCACACAGGCAAAGACTGGTGTTTCACAAAGACGGCATCAAATTTGTGTGATTGCAATGATTAGGACTTTGATTTACCACATTTTTTTCATCATTTTCTGGATGACTTTAAAATATTTAATATATATCATTTTGCTTTACTATGCTCCTGAAGGAAAAAATATGAAAATAGATATTTAAGAGGATAATTTTTAACAATTGTAGCTTTTTTATTTGTGTCCCAGAAGTATGATGCAATATGAAAAAGATATTTATTTGGTGAGACATCAGAGTATTTAAGAAAAATATCAAGTCTGATAAAAATATTTTTTAACATTAGCTATAGGCCTGAATTCGGCATCCAGCATTGGCAGCTAATGTCTTGTTTGTTTAGACCATCTTTTTTAATAACTCATCTATAAAGTTTTAATCTATTCCAAATTCACATTTTGTGCATTTTTCTTTGCACTTCAATTACTTCAAAGGTATTTGATTTCCTCAGAATTTCTATTGAAAGCTCCAATATTATTTGTCTAAAAGCTGAGAACTAATACCATTGGATTTCTCGATAAAAATTCAATACTTGACTGATGAAAGTTATTAGTTTTTATTAATACAACTTTTAATATAGCAACTTTATTGGATTATAATTATAACAACCTTACTAAATCACAATTTACACTGGTGCCATAAATTTATCCTTCAAAGTGATAAAATATGGTACTTATTAATGATATTCATATAATTTTGCAACTATTCCTACTGATCAAAAAACCTTTACTACTCCACAAATAATCTTGGCACCAGTAATGATCACTTCTAATTTCCATTTATCTCCAGTTCCTGGCAAGCACTCAATTAGCTTTTGTCTCTGTGAATTGGTCTATTCTGGACATTCCACATAAATTAAAGTGTTACATGAAGACTTTTCTGCCAAGTTTCTTTAATGCGGCTTAATGTTTTTCAGAAATACTGAGAAATTGTGAATTCTTAAATTGTATGTTTTATAATTTTATGTCTGGCTTATTAATGCTTATGATTCTGTTTCTTTTGATTTAATAATTGACTTTATGGAGCAATTTAGTGTTCAGACTGAAAAATAAGTGGTAAGCACATGCATTTTCTAATTATTACTATTCCCACAAAGTGTAGTCTCCCCAAAATCAACATCCTCCACTGCAGGTGGGTATTTGTAGCAAATGACAGACCTACATCAAATATCCTTATAACACTAAGTTCATAGCTTAGGATTTATTCTAAGTTCTATAAACTCTATGTGTGTATATAATTATGTAGCATTATGTATACACTATTTCAATATCATGGTGAGTAGTTTACTCCTGTAGAACTACTACTCTATTCTCTGTCTATTAATACTGTGGTTCCTCCACTACCTGAGAACCACTGATCTTTTCATAGTCTCCACTGTTTCATCTTTTCCACATAGCATGGATTGGAATCGTACAATATGTATTCTCCACAGGCTGCTTTCTTTAACTTTCTACTATGCACTTAATTTTCCTACACTTTTTTTTCAGAACTAAATATTTTTCGGTCTGCATATACTACAATTTTTTATCTATTCAATCACTGAAGGTAATTATGTATTTTAAGTGCTGGAAATTATGAATAAAGCTTCTACACATATCTTTTTGGTAAATTTTACACAGACACAACTTTCTGTTTTGAAAGTGAAAATAAATGAATATAATTATTATAATGTACAGCAAGATTATGTTTAGCTTTTAAAGAAAACTGGAAAATTCCTTTCCAAAGTTAGTGGACCATTTTGTATTCCTGCAGGCATAAAACAAAGGACTTTGCTCCAAATCCTTGTTAGCATTGTACATTGGCAGTGTTCTACATTTTGAATACTTTTGTAAGTGTGTAGTCTATGCTACTGCTGTCTTGATTTATACTTTCATGATGACATCCTATATGGAGCATCTTTTTATTTGCTTGTTTACTATTTATATCTTCCTTGGCAAGTTGTCTATTAACTTGACTGGTTTTTAAGTTGGGTTATTTCTTATATCTGAGTTGTAAGTACTTACAGGTTTTGGAGGCATACATAGATAGGCTTGCTTTTTCATTCTCTTCACACTTTTTCACAGAATAGCATTTTTAATTCTGATGAAATTCAACTTATCACTCTTTCTTTCACACATTTTGACTTTGATGTTGCATTTAGAGACTGAGATCATTAAGGACTTTTCTACAACATCTTCTATGATTGTCATTTTTATTTTATATTTAGGTTTATGGCTTATTTTGAGTTAATTTTTGTGAAGGATGTAAGGCTTGTGTGTAATATTTTCCTTCGTTCCTTCCTTCCTCCTTTCCTTCCTTCCTTCCTTCTTTTGCCCCTGAATGTCCAGTTATTCTAAAACTGTATTCATCAAGGTTCTGTAGAGAGGCAGAACTAATACGGGATAGACAGATAGATAGGATTTGTTAAGGGATTTATCTTGTGTTATTATAGAGGTCAAGAAGTACCGCAATAAGCCATTTGAAAGCTGAGTCCTTGAAAGTCCGCTAATGTGGCTTATCCTGGCCTCAAATCTGCCAAGAAATCAGTGAAGCAGGTAGTATAACTGTCAGTCAGTCACCAAAAACCTGAGAGCTTAGGTTCAAAGGAAGGTGTGGGGAGCAGCTGAGCTGGTGATAGACCACACATCTGGGGTCAGCCCACCCCAAGAACGTGGAGCAGGAGAGGTAAGCCACGTGTACAGGTCACTGGGACCAGAGTAAAGCCAGTCCTGTAGCTCAGTGGCATATCAGCAGGTGTCTGATCTTGGTGTTCCTGATAAGTACACTATGGAAAGCTGTAAGAAATGTTTCACTTCCAGTGTTTTCAGCAAAAACACTGAGACCTTGCACTTTCAGCCTTATCCACAATTTCCCCTTTTTAACCCTGTATAAATGAAGATACAGACAGAGCTCGGTTGTCATTGCCTCTCCACCAGAGATATCAGGCATCACCTGTTCCCATCATTTTTATATGTGTCTTATTTTTTCTGTATTTCCCTTTGGCCCCTCTCAGGACACCATTGGTCACACAGGTCACAGCAGAAAGAAGCCATCGGTTTAAATCGTCCCAGTTCAAATGTTGAATTCTGCTGTCCAGAGGTAAGCCAAGGAGAGTGTACTGTATTCTATCTCCAGAAAAGAGAGGAGGGAGGGGAAAGAGAAAGAAAAGAGGGGAGGGAGGGGAAAGAGAAAGAAAAGAGGAGGAGAGGAAGGGGAAAGGAGAAGGGGAGAGAGAGAAAGGAATTTTTCTATTTCCATGTCCTTAGCTGTTTGGATGGTATAGTCTATTGAATCACATGCCAGTCTTCTTTAGAAAAACCTTCATAGGCACCCCCCAAAAATGTCTTACCAGTTCTACACTGCATTGTTTCTCCTAATTTGTCAAACATACCTTGACTATATGGGTCTATTTCTGGGCTGTCCCTTCTATTAACACTTGTCTATTATTTTGCCAATCTCATCTTATTATGACTACAATACACTTTATATTGGGATTAGAATACGGGTAGTCTTAGACTCAAACTTGGCTCTTCTTCATTGATATTATGTTAGCCATTCTGGATTTTTGTTTTGTTTTGTTTTTTGTATAAACACCATGATCATTCTATCACTATTCACAAGATAGCACACTATTTTGTCTATGAGGACACAGTATCTGTATATCCACTTAGAACAAATAATAACTTTATAATATTGAATCTTTCTTTTCACATACATAAAATTATCTCTCCGTGCATTTAGTTCTTTGATTGCTTTACCAATATTTTAGCTCCCATAGACCTTATTCATATTTATTGGATTTACATTTAATTATTTAATTTAGATTTTTAAATTCAATAATGCAAAGGTAAATATTATGCATCTTTAGTTTAATACTCCTCTTTTATGTAGTTAATATAAAGAAAAGTGATATGTATTTTTATATTAACCTTGCATCTTTCTGTTTTACAATTGTTTTTTAGCTGCTGAAAGATTCTATTAATTCCTTTTATATAAACAATTATGTCATTTGCAAAGGTAGCCAGATTTCTTCCCTTCCAACTGATACACTAATTATGTCTTTTTTAAAAGGTCTTATTGCATAGTTAGGGTGTCCAGCATTATATAAAGCAGTGATGAAAAGGAATAAGTTTCAAAGTTTTTATTGCTAAGTATGTTGTCAGTTGTAGGTTATTTATAGAAATTCCTTGTCAAATTAAGGAAATTTCCTTCTATTATTAGTGTACTGAGATTTTAATTGTGTGTGCATATTAGATTTTATCAAATGTTTTTCTTTAGTTTTGATATAATCATGTATTTTGTTTTTAATCTGCTATTGTGATCAGTTGCAGAATTGAGTCTTCCTTCCTTCCTTCCTTCCTTCCTTCCTTCCTTCCTTCCTTCCTTCCGTCCTTCCTCTTTTCCCCTCCCTTCTCCCTTCTCTTTTAAGACAGGCTGTCAGTAAATTTTCCATGCACTTTGAGTTTAAGATCCTCTTGTGTCAGCCTTTCAGGTTTCTTATTTCTTTTAAAGTGATGCTAATCTCATCAAATGTCAAGAAATATTATCTCCATTCTATCCTCTTGAAAAGTTTGCATAATTTTTGCTTTAAACCTTTGGTAGAGTACACCAGTGAAATTTCCTCGGCCTGGCATTTTCTGAATTAGAAAGCTAATTGTCAATTTCATTTCTTTATTAATTTAATTTTAAAATGTATTCACTTTGTTTATTCCTTCTTATGTAAGGTTCAAGAAATTGTGTCTTTTGTCAGTTGGGCCCATATGTCATCTCGGTTTTCACATTTGTTAAACTACAGTTGTTTCTAATATCGCTTTATTATCCTTTTGTTTGTTTGCTTGTTTCCACTGGGGACTGAACCCCGAGCCCTCACAGAAAGTTGCATTCCCAGTCCTTTTTTATTTTGAGGCAAGTTCTCCGTAAATTGCTCACTTGCCCAAACAAGGCTCACACTTTTTATGTACCTGCTTTAGCCAACTAGAGAGCTGGGATTCCAGACAACACCACAAATTCTTGGCTCTTATTCATACTTTCAATGACGATGCCACACATTCCTCGGTCTTTGTTATACTTTTGTGGATTTGTAGAGATGGCCTCTGTAATAGTGTATGGTGTTTGTTCTTGTCCTTTTTTCAGTTAGCTTGTCTAGAGATTTATGGCTTTTATTGAATTTTTCCATAACCAGGCTTTAGCTTCATTAATTTTATTGATTTTCTTTTTTCAACTCCATTGATTTATGCTACAATTTTAACTATTTCTTTTCTTCTATTTCCTTTAAATTCATATTTTTAATAATTTCATTAGGTACGTCTTCTGTTACTTGATTTTATGTCATTTTCTTTTACAGTGTGTATCCCTTGGTATAAATCTCCTTCTAATCCTATATTAATACTGTCTTCTACAAATTATGATAAAATTACATTTTTCGTTTCATTCAGTTCAATATATTTTTAAAATGTCTCTTAGACAGAATTACAAAACAAATACACAAAACCCATCACCTTTACATACAACAATAATAAACATTCAAGAAAGAAATAAGGAAATTAATTCCATTCACAATAATTTCAAACAAATAAACAAACAAACAAAAGTTCTAAGAATCATACAAACCAAGAAGTCAAAGATTGCTATAAGAAAAACACGAGAAAGAAATTGAAGAACACTTTAGAAAATGAAAAACCTCCCTTGTTCCTGGGCCAGCAGAATTGACATTTTTTTAGGTGGGCATATTCCCAGGAGCAATCTACAGATTCAGTGTGACCCTTCTAAAATACCAACAGCCTTCTCCAGAAAACTAGAAAATTAATGTTCAGACTTATATATATGAAACCACAAAAGTCCCCAAAAAGCCAAAGCAGAACTGAACAACAAGAGCAACATAAGACAAGCAATATAAGACAAGAAATTTTGAAATTGCTCAAAGAAAACAAAGAGGAAACAACTGAAATCATGAGCAGAGGCAAAGACTTTCTGAATATGCCCCTGGTCGCACAGGAAATAATTTCTAAAAATAAATATATTGGACTATATCAAGTTAAAAAGTTTCTGTATAAGAAAGAAAATAATCAACAGAGTGAAGCAATAATCTGTACTAGGGAATAGTATCTTTATTAGGTAGCCCTTTGATATAGGATTGTATTGTACTCAGGGTTTGCAAGGGAAACAGTTTTTAATACAGGATACATAATTAATAGAATTATTTTACAATAATTACCCCAAAAGTCAAACATGCAGGAAATCTGTCCACACACTAAAGAGCCCAAAGAATCCAGCTGAGGGTCCAGATCCCATGACAATGCCCTGCATAAGCCCAAGACATTGAGACCTAGAGTCCATGACAATGTCTCATGCAAGTCTGTTTCACAGATCTGCATTGGGAAGGCCCAAAGGACAGAAGTGGAAGCTAGAATGTCTGTGCCAGAAGCATCTGTTCTAGAAGGCTGAGGGACTTCAATGGAGTCATGAAGCAGTACACACAGTAAGGACCAGAGATCTCCCAAAAATATCACAGCCATCTTCAGTGACCACGAGTGTCTGAGCTCCTGCAACAATGGGAACAGCTGAGTTCATATCAGGAAGCCAGCATGACAAGCTTCTCCAGGAGATTGAAGAGCACACCATCTTCCCCTCCATGGCTGGGAAGTAATGCTCAAATAAAGACCAGAGCTTCCCCCTTGCAACCATTCTCAGTGACAATCAGGTCCTGAACGTCTCTCTTGATGAGAACAGACAAGTTCATACCAGAAAAGAAACCTGACTAGCTCCTCCAGGAGAACCAAAAAACAAAACAAAACAAAACAAAAAACCAGAAGAACCAACACCAATACCAACACTTCTTCCTCTCCAGTTCTCTTTTCTGTGTTGCTGGCAACAATCTTCAGGGGGTCCAGGAACACACACACACCCACAGCACCATGCTGGTTCAGTTTAGCTGGGTGTTATAGATTGCCCACCAGTTGTCAATCCATCACAGATTGATATTCAAAATACATAAAGAAGTCAAATAACAACTCCAAAGCAAAACAAAAACAAGAAATGTCAAAATGAACAGAAAAGTTCAGAAGCAAAAATACAAATGGCAAATAAGTACATGAAAAACATTTCAATATCCTTAGCCAATATGGAAATTTTTATAAAACTGAACTGAGATTCCATCTCATCCAAGTCAGAATGGCTTTTAACAAGAATATGAAAAAGAATGAATAAAGAGAAGAGTTTGATGGAAAAGAACTTTTCTGCCTTGCTGGGGAAATGCAAGCCACTATAATCACCATGGAAATGAATGTGAGCATTCCTTGAAAACCTAAAATTAGGTGTAGCATCTGATCCCAACTACAACACTTCTTGCTTCTTGGTATTTTCCCCAATTACATATAACACAATATAGTGATACAGGCATGCCTATATTTATATCAGCACTACTCACAATGACTGAACTATGAAACAGCCCAGGTGCCTATCAATACATGAATGGATATAAAATGGTATATCTGCATAATATACTATTATTCAGCCATAAAGAACAAATTCTTTTTTTGTAAAACAAATAGAAGTAGAGGCCATAATATTAAGCTAAATAAGTCAGCCTCAGTTAACTACATGTGTTGTTTCTTATATAGCCAATCAAAATATTAACATATAAATAAATAAACATAAAAATGAGAAGCTGTCAGGAAACTAGAAGTAACCTTTTAAAGATGAGGAGTACAAGGGAAGAGAAGAAAAAGTAGAGGGATGTGAAATGAGATGAAATAAAATATAGTATTAAGTACTAAATTACTAAAATAAATCTTATTCAGTATCACTAATATGTACAAATAAATATGATATTAGCAATAAAAAATTCTCCTGATTTTATCATTTGACCTGTGCATTATTTTAAAAGATTTTTTTTCTCCAAAATTTGAGAATTTTCCAGCTATTTTTCTGTGTTGCTGTCTTGGTCTGTTCCTTTGGGAGCCGTATTCATCAGAGTTTGCTAAAGACACATATAACACAATATATACAAATGTACAAGAAGTTACAAGATTGGCTTATGGTGGCCAGCCACAGAGTCAAATGAGGAAGCCTGCAGAGGGTGTCCTGGAATCCTGGAGGCT